AATAATAGTCGTAAATCTCTAGATGATATGAACCAGTATAGACTAATTCTAATATTGCATATCATTAACATTTAGTAACGTAATAAATTTTAGTTTAAACATACCGAAAAGTAGAACAAAGTCCTTAACGCGAAGGTGCGACGAGGTCATGAAGTGATATTTGCATAGTTTGAAATTTTATTAAAAAAAACTTTACTATAGAACTTTAGTAACAGCAAAATCACTGAGCTTTACAAAGTGAGATTTGAGACGACCGCTTGCGTGTGAGTCGTAACTCTCATATGGAATGCACTCGGGTCCAGTTCAAATGACGTTTTGAATAAAACAAAAATGCAGCTCAAATGCTACCGTATGTGTAGGCACCGCATTCCAATCGCCTTTATTTTATTTACATTTAAATTGAGATGACACAGAAAATTATTCTCGTCCTTAAAGCAATTTTCTTAGAAAAACATGGTCGTTTAGGACGTTAAGCATAATTACTACATTCAAGTGTGTGTCTTTATTTGCTATTATTGCTATGATGTACTAATAAGGCAAAAATGAGCGTCTTTACATTTTCATATACAAATTAATTCTGTCATAATTATGTCTTATATTACACTCTTGTCGCAATAATGTCGGTTAGAAATCAATCCAGAAGCGAGATATAAATTAGTGTATACTTTAATACAAGATTTTACCATAATCAGTTAAATAATTGTACGCAACAAGGTAACAAATAGACAGACTTTTTGCTACCAATCCTGGAACATAATAAATGCATCATATATAGGTATCTATAGATTTTATCGATATTTTGGATGCAAAAGCTTTCTCCGATCCCATCCCTACAATGCCATATCTTTCACTTTAACACAACAACAAAATGTAATTGACCTACCCGTGAACACAGGCTATAAATTTAAGTTTATGATTATTTTAAGGACCGTAATGCATGTAATAAATAGCCTTCGTTTTATTCTATACTGGCTATTTATGTCTAATTTTTTTTTATTATTAGTGTAATACGTAATAACATGATTGATGTAAATATCATTTCTTCTGAAAAAGAGTTGTAAATTTATTTTGCTTCTTGTCTGCCACAAAAGACGTCCAGGAACGAGTGATAGGGATAAAACCTTAGACGATTTAAAAGTGATTATATTGAACTTACTTGAATAAAACACGTTTTTATTTTCATTAACTTACCTTTTGAATTTTTTTGAATATCGAATATTATTAAATACATATTATGAATATTATGACCCCTTAAAAGCCAAGTCATTGTGAAATATCAAATATCATGAAATATCAGCCTTTAGTTCCGTCTCACTGGTATTTACGAAATTAAATCATTTTTATTTTAGAATTTTTGGAAGTGATTTATGTTAAACATTAGGTACAAATTACTAAGATGAATGTTGTTTTCATCATTGACTACATATTTGTCACACATTATGTATATTTTTTTTTAATTATAGGCGCTATATTAAAAAAAAACTACTAGAAGGGGGTCATTTATCATGGAAATATTACAGAGTCACTCGACTTCAAATATCCTTGCTTATTTTATTTGGTGTATTTTTGTACAAATCTGGACAAACATAACTCTTAATCATAAATACCTAATTTATAAATTTGAGAAAAATATACAAAGTAAAACAAAACCAAAAATAGAGTAATGAGTCTTAGTTTCTATACTCTGAATAAAGTGAGGACTAATAATAGTAAGAATACTATTATTAATAACTATTTACAGATCTCACTTCATACAAATTCACATCTATTGGTTAAAATATTTGCTTAAGTATGTTAACATCGGGGTCTGGAGCCCCGTAGCTTCATTTCTCTTTAGAGAGATTAAGAGGATGACAGAGATAGAGATTAAGGATGTAACCTTCGGCACGGTAGTGGTTTTTGTTGTCTTCTGTGTCAGCAGTTTATTAATATAGAAGAGTCATGTAAATTGATGACGTCACCATTCGCTATTAATTCAATTTAATGGATGTAGAAAAAAAATTATGTTCGCTCAGAGGGTACCATAGTGATACTTTCATCTAATACTTATAATCTGACGGTCGAAATAAATAATTACACGCGTATGATGTAGCCATAGGTGACAGATTTTTTAAAAAAGTCAGTGCTTTCGAAGCCTATTCGATGCAAAGAAACAATGTAGTCATTCCTCATTATAATACTACTATAGATCATAATTTGCAGTATCAAATAAAAAGGTCTCGCAAGTTATTGGTAATATTAAATACAATATTAATAGAGTTCAGTAGAGTACTTTGTTTAAAAAGCAAATTATAAATATAATTATAAAATGCTTGATAATATTGAATTTTGATGAGTTATTAGTATCTATTGAAACGTTACTACAATTTTCCAAGCAAGTTAAAACTCCTACTACTATTGATACGTTGCTACGTTCAATAAGGCACATTGCTAAGAATTTACAAGCCGTCTTTTTAACTGGGAAGAATCTTTTTTTTATAGTATAAGATACAATATTATTATTTGAAATTAGTCAAGCAAAAGCATATAAACGGTTTGACCGCCGGATCATGAGCCTCGTCTAAATAGAATTATATAGCATTATCAATGAGGTAATATCTTAATTTTGTGCAAAACTTATTGACTGATGTCAGATAGAAAACCGTTTAGTATTTAGGGTAGGTGCTTTTTTATCGTTCTATCTCCGTTCTAAATAATTACCCTAGGCACCTCATATTTGCCCGCAGACACCGACCGTGATACTAATGTATCATTTAACATACATAAATCATGCTCTCCACTGCCATGGTGATTATTCACTAATAAGTATTTATGTTTCAAATCAGCAGGAAGTATCTTACATATTTTAATAAATTTTCTATATTCCCCCGTATAGTGAGCTTTTGTTTTATCGCTAAAAAGTAATTTTAAGAATCTAGTTTGAAGTGCTTCAATTTGATCTATATTTGTTTTAAAATTTAAGCGATACCAATCAATAGCATAACTTATAATTGAATCGACTAGTGTATAATAAAGGCATTTCAAAGTATCTTTGGATATTTTAAAACTAAGATGATAAAATTTTCTTAAGACATACTTTGCTATCATAATCACCTTGCCATTTCAGCTGAGCAATTCTTTGAACAATGTCAGTAACGTTAGTTTTCCTACGGATCTTCTGATTCCTAATTTGATCATGTAGAGAGGTACCAAGCATTGCTCTCTCCATTGCCCGTTGGGTGACCTTGAGCCTTCTTATGAGAGCCATAGTGAACGACCACGTTTCGCTTCCGTAAGTCATCACTGGCAACACACACTGATTGATGTAAATACATCCAATCAAATTGAAGAGTAGTATCCTACAGCTTCCAGATAATACTGCGGCATTAGATCAAGTTTACTGTATGTAAAAGTCAGAATTCTTATATACGACGTGTTAGTTAGGTACATCCTTTCATCTACTAGAATAGGCTGATGATTTGCAAAGGGCTGAACAGATTTTCTTGTATCGTGGTTAAAAACAATCTTGATTAAGTCACCGTACAAATAAAAAAAAAACCTATACCAAAATCACTTCATCCGTTTGGGAACTACGAAACCACACACACCTGTCGCTTTCGTGGCAGATTGGTGCATAATGCGCTTATTAGCGTTTCCTTAAAAAAAATTGTATACACCTCTACGTATGATAACCACCAATATCGTAATTGTATAACATATTTTTATTCGCCTTAAAAAATCGATACTAATTTCTTAATAACTGTTATAACATGAGTAATTCGGTAATGTAGTGAAAAAGCGCCGCGGCCCGGGATCATTGATATTAAGCACCATACGGAAAGGTCGATCACGAAATTGGTGACGAAAAAAATATTATCTCGAGATATTCCGTACTTTGGAAGATATGTTCAGCCGTTGGTTCCGGCTGGATTAATACTCGTTAATATCCTCCAATTCGCATTCCTATCCTCCTTAACCATCAATAAGAAAGGCTTGAGCCCTTACAGTAGGAACGTAAAGGGGCTGATGATAAACCTGATTAACTACAAAGGCGTTTCATAAAACTTCATTATAATCGGGTCATTAAAAGATAATGCTAGCAAATCGTCGCCTGAATTCAAAAAAAGATTCTTGCATTTAGATCCGCCATTTTATTATGAATAATTTTTAAATTTTTATAGTCGGTTTTATCATCGAGATCAAATAATAGATAAATTTTATTGAATCATATACATTGCACCGATTCCTATATGAGTAGCCCTTGCTCTCGCTCTCATTACTCCTCCCGCTGGAGAAAGTGCTGTTGAAAGGAGACATTGGGCATGGACTAGAACGAGGTCGGCCTGGACCCCATTGCATAATTTTCTACATGGAACCGACCGAGACTCGAACTCGGGACCTTAAAGGTAGCGATACCTTGAAACCAGTGTGCTAACCACTCAGCTAGAGTTCGGAGAGAAACGAGGAGGAAACATACTGAGAATATTTATTTTTACTATTTCCTACTCTTGATTTTTCTGTGAATAATTTCAGAGACAGAATACATGCATATTTATTTATATACTCACGGCTGTACATCAATTTACCACAAAACCTCATAGTTGATTTTAAACTATACCATCAAAGCATTAGGGAGACTGCACTTTATTTGAAATACTTGTAACTGTTATACATAAAATAACTATAAACTGAGATCATTATGTTTTAGATCACAAGTAACTAAAGCTATACATAGAATAAAACAAAACGGAAAAATATGAATCAGCTCATTGCAAATAAATTATATTAATAGTAGTGGATAATTAGAAATTACAACACCAAACTTGTAAGAATTTAGCCGCTCAGACTACAAACGCTACTGTTTCAAAGCTACCCAAAAAAAATTCTTCGGAAGGATCTCATTACCTTAATGAGATTCAATTTTAATTATGAGATATTATTTTAAAGGTTCATAATATTTATTTGCATCCTTTTGAGATGATTTTATAGATTCTTTACACATAAAGAAAACAAAGAACGTCAACTTATCTTTTTATTTACACCTACATGGTTTAAATCCACCGAACACGGAAATGAGGTTTCTGTGTTCTGTGGTTTAAATCCATTAGATTTGAAGACTTAAAGGTACTAGTTACATTTTTAATTTAGCTGAAAATCATTTAATCCAGTCACTTTGTCTAACACTCGAATCATAAGACTATAAATAACGACTAGATTTATACGGGTATGTGAACGCCGCTTGGCTGGAATCCATTTTCATCGGCGACGTAATCTACTCTATAGGTAACTCCATCAGGGCCGATGTATTGGTAGAATCCTTTAACCTTTATACCATCTTCATCTTTACTTATTTGCTCCAGTTTGCCCGCTTCCTCGGCAAGGATCGTGTTCTCAGTCTCGTAAAGGTAATGATATCCATCAGGAAGAACGTCGTTCTCTTGGCGGATGATACCGAATTTATAGTCGTACCTGCCATCGTGTTTGGCAATAGCACTAGCCCCGCTACCTGAGCCACCCGAGCCAGAAGAAGCGAAACTACTAGAGCCAGTGCCAAATCCACTGCCTCTGTTGCTTCCACTGCCAAAAGTACTGCCACTGCCGCTTACTTTGCTGCCGCTGCTGCCACTTCCCCTGTTGCCACCACTGCCGCTATACGAAGAAATAATAGGGAATAATAATACGTATGAATTTTGAGTACCCTATCACCAATGTTATTAACTGAAGATGTCTTTAAAAAAAAAACGAGTCGATTTCCCGTCGGGTCAATGTAGAAAATGGATGTTTTTTATGTTGTCTTCGATCTGGATGTTATGTTACCTACACCTTAGCTACTTATCTTGGAATTTGAGTAATGTATGTGACATTACCTAATATTTATTTATTATTATTAATGTATATGAAGTATATTGACTAACATATACTTAAAAACTGACAGATGGTATTGAAATTATTTTTAGTTTTGTTAAAATAATAATCTTCCAAAGAAAATAACTAAAAACCAAAAAATTCTTAAAAAAACCTGTTTAATATAAAACTAAAATTTTTGTATCTTTTAACTTACCTGCCTGCACCAAATCTGTCAGGCTTGTACTTTCCACCGTTATTGGCCTCTGGAGTGTATGCTCCGCCAGGTCCACCGGGACCACCTGGACCACCTCTATCGCTGGACCCTGTGTAGAATCCACCTGGACCTCCCTTGTCGCTGCTGCCGGTATAAAATCCACCAGCACCACCGCGATCACCGCGATCCCCACTACAAATGATATTCTATTATTTAGTTTAAAAAAAAAACTAATTCTTAAGACGCTCCTGTGATAATTACAATTAATTGTTCATTAGTATAAATATTTTTTTATCATCATTCGGCAGTTATAAGAAAAAAATATGTAATAAGCTACACGCCATTTGATTCAATTTGATATAAAATGAAATCCAGATTTCCGTAACAATATATTGTATCACATTTAAATATTTTTGAAATTAATGAAACTCTACGAGAGTGGTAGCTACATTAGAATATTTTTACTGATTATTAAGTAGATTTATGGGAATCTCATAAAATGAACAGAGTATAGTGATTAGTTTAGCAAAAATAACCACGTAAACAAACAAGAAGGCTCGTTTATATTTTAATATCTTAGAAGAAAAACGCTTTTAAAAACGATTTCTTTTTTATAGAACAAAAAATCGTCAAAAATCTTCCCCCCTATACTACGTAGACTTACTTGTATTTGCCAGAATCGTCAGGGACGTAACGCCCTGAGTTGTCGCTGCTGGGATTGTAACGACCTGGATCGTAACGACCAGGATCGTAACGACCAGGATCGTAACTTCCCGAGGTGGAGGCCGAGGCGGACGCTTGAACTACATTGTACCTTTTGGGGCTGTTGAACTGGAATGGTTTGTAGCTAAAGAGGCAAAATAAAAAAAAAGCTTTTCATTTGAATCCCAACTAAATTATTGTTGTTGTTTATAGCATTGCTTAAAATATACTTGCCTTCCTATTTGAGCCGCGAAAGCGACAGTTAGACATAGACAGAGTACCTGAAAAAATTGTTTTAAAATAAATTAATAAGGTACAAAAATACACTCAATTGTCTATTTACTATTTATAATGAGTCGGTGATAATTCATCTAATACGATATTCATTAATTATTATTTTTTCATGTCAAGGATTTAATTATGCCTTTAATTTAATGTTAATATGTCAAATAATATTATGGCAATTCATAACATTTCTTTCATTACACTCACCAGGACAGCCCTCATAGTAGTGGCGTCAACAACGCAACAACGTAAATATGATTTTAAAGACGCTACAGCCTTTTTATACCATTTCGTCAAATTTTATATTAGTAATTCTTATCTGTCATTCTATTATAAATGCTCTTCGGTCCACTCACTCGCCAGCGATTCTCAATCTTTGCGACATACGTAGTTTTTTTTTTGTAAATTCTAGAATCCGACACCTCAATGGCGCATTATTAATTACCAAAGCAACGTTTGGTAAAAGAAAGATACGATAACCTATACCTCTACAAGTTAAAATGACATCACCTTTAATAAATGTGAATATAACATTTCACGATTATTTTAACGAAACTCGTATTTCGAAGAGTTTATTAACCCGAAATTAACTGCAAAATCGTTTGTTTATTCATTTAATTCTAGTCATACGGGTGGTGAGATTAATGAAAAATGAGACATATTATATTATTTGTTGTTTATTTAAATTTGTTAATTTCAGTAACGACGCCATCTATAAGTTATGTTGTGATTTTTAAAATAAAGGTTAATAAAGGGTACCGATTAGAACACAGTACGTTGCTTACAGTACGCACAGCTTAATTAAGGTTCTCGTGTTTTCAAAATTTTAAGAGATTATTACCTTCGACATAAATGACATTTTATGTGTTAACTTTTCCGTATCTACAAGATTTTTAGTAAACAAAATATTAAAAAAATATAGAACCGACTTGAAACTTAAAAAAATAGTGAAAAATAATACGTACAATTTTTTTCAATTTTTATTTCATGATTTTATTGATATTTTTATATAATTGGTAAAATACTTTTCTGTAAACCGCGTCAAAAACGGTTCAGCTAAACAGGAGATAATCACGCACAAACAAAGACACATTCATACATACAGGTCAAACAGAGAACTTCTTTTTTAAGTTGCTTAAAAACCAATGATATTAAGGATTGAAATTTTCAGCAACTGACCGTACAGGATCTATCACCCATTTTGTGTCACTTCTCATTCGTATATATTCTGTCTTTGTTATTTTGACATAGAAATTTAGATATAAGGGAGAAAAACATATTTACCATAAGAAAAATGTTATTTGCAATTTACAACCTAATTTTGAATTAATGTTATTCTTTCATGCGCCACTTTTTATGCGATTGCTTATTTATTGTAAAAGAACCAAAACAATATTATTATTACAAACTACAAACAAATATAGAGATCTTTTCGCATATCGCGATATATTGGTTAAGATATCATGATATTTTATAAAAAGTAGAACTGACTCCAAACCTTAAAAATGTGACACATAATACTTATCATAGAAACAACTTATTTGAGAAAATGCTATTGAAATCTGGCGGAGGTTATCTGTAAGTTATTAATTAAATAATGGGCACAAGTTTTTATTTCATGCTTTTTAATGATAGTTTTTATATAATAGGTAACACTAAAAATATTAAATATTTTTATAGAATAATTTGTTTATTTATTCGACATAATTTTTCTAATAATATATATTCATATTTTAAAGAGGTAAGATTTGATAGCTTGTTCCTTTGCATCGGATTGGCCCCGAAACTATTCTCTGTCTTTACTATCTATCTATGGCTTTCATAAAAAATATACATCGAATAGTAAAGTATACATACGCGTTGAACATAGAAAATCTTCCTTTCAGATTTTAAATAAATTCTAAATACGCTATCTTTTGTTTTTTAGCTGAAATGGGCCATGTATAATATTAAGACGATATGTTATGGGCCATAACATATCGTCTTAATATTTAGGTGTTATCTGTTGAAAAGCGCAGTTTGTTTTATTATAAAAGGAAAACTACTTATTCGATTTCTATAATATTTAAATGGAACCACCCCAATACATCAAGCTGTCGATAAAAAAAAATAATTTTGAAAGTCCCATCTCAGAGTGCCAGCGACAAAATGGATGTTTTAAGCATTTTTCATTAATAATATTTTTCAGTATAGCATTGCGAATGCAAAATTGATTAAATATAATTACCTGCTGGCATTGCAAATTTAGTGAGATACCAATTTAGAAGATAATGTTGTCTTAAGTTGTGTGGTATGCCTAGTTTTAGGTAAGGGATCATCATTGCGTTTCCATTGCTGGGGCGCAAAACATTATTAAGGAAGCCTTTCCATCACGCGATTCCACTACGGAAAAAATAAATTAGAACTGATTCGCTATGATTTATATGATTGACTATAAAATGGAAAGATACTAATACGTATACGTTATAGGCATATTGTATTACTTTTTTTTTTTCCTTGAAATAATTATTTTCTATCGACTATTGTAAAGACAATTACATAATTTTAGCATTATTTTCTGTCTTTCCTAAAAAGTAGTGCTTTGAAAATTATTTAGAAATTATATAAGTTTACTTTTAAACTGCTAAACGAACTTCAGTGTAATTTGATTTTGAGAAAGGATATAGGGTAAATTTTATCACGATAAATATACTTAAAATTAAGAAATTGAAATAAGGGATGAAATTCAGCGGAGCTCCGGGCTATAAGCTAGTTTAATAATTACTCCATATATTGTTATGTCTATTAAATATAAATATTTTATCATCGTTTTCAATAAAATAAGATTTTAGGATGTTTTTCTTTACAGCTCTCTTTCAATAGGAGTTACTTAGTTTTCTGCTCTTATTTTGGGCACAAATATATTCGTTAAGGAATTAAGATCTAACTAGAAATTAAGTGAATTAATATAAATCAAACAACTAATATACTCATAATTCCAAAATAGTTAAATAGTAATATTTAATGTACATAATCGTTATCTATTATCTGTTGTTAGATTTATCGTTAGTTACATTTTTCTAATATTATCGTGAGTTAACGAAAAAGAAAACATTGTCAAATATCAATGTTACACAAAACTCTTTTCAGTTTAGATTTGTTGAATGGTTAAATTAACTTTTAACTTAAACTTAAACTAACCTGACATATTCCAAACTTTGAGAAACTTTTTTATGTATTAATTAATAATGTGTTAAATCAACTACTATATAAGAAGGATGAACCGATCATTATAAATATAAAACAAGAACAACGCCTTAACTGTGTGATGCCTTCAAGGCCAAAACGCTTCCATGGATAAATGTTACTGTGAAACAATATGTAAATCATTCTACATTTCATTAATATATTGATTTATTAAATCAAGACGAGACATATTCTTAACGCCACAAACATTTTTAACCTTTTATATTAACAGCCGGACCTACCAAAAATATATTTTAATTATTCAAGCGTATCATATTAAGTCGCCATAAAAATTAGAGTCACTTCTATTTTTTTTTTTATTGAAATCATTTTAAAGTTAAAGTTGAATAGTTCAAGAATATATCATTCAAACTAATAACTTTATAAAAAATACATATAATTAAATATATTTTCTCTAACTACATTAGAAGTAGGTTAGTGATATTTTCAATATAATACATCAATTAATATGTTATTCTTACCGAAATAATACGATTTTCCATAGTCGAATCTTTAATATTTCTCGATATTGGACGGATTATTATCAGACCAGTAACTACACAATATTCAGTTTTAAGAATGTGTGCCCTAAAGAGACATCTGCTTCTTATACTTAGACGCACTAGTACATAGAAATATCTGTACGCTGTTCAATGTGCGTCTGCGATAATTAACTTCCAATAATTTATTGTTTTAATTCAAGTATATATCGTTATTTCAAGTAGTTTTGCATATGCTTTTCTCACTAATACAGATATTTTATTATTTGCATCTCATATTAGTAGGTACTGTGTCTTATTAAGATGTTTATTACAAGTAGATGAAATGATAATACCTGAGATGAAAATATAAGTACTGTGACTTATTAAGAGATCTATCACAAATAGGTGTAATACCTGAGATGAAAGGAAGCCTACAATGAGGGAATTTTTGGTGGGTTATTTATTTAATCTTCGGTGGGTGACCAAAATTTATTTTCTCGAGTTCATCCGTTCTTCGGAAGACAGGTTAAGTTATTGGTCCTGGCATCTACAGTCATTAACACCCACCAATCTGCATTGAGCCCGCGTGGTAGGTGATAGGATATTCTTCCTATTCGATTTGATTCGTTTCCATCCATAGGGAAGGTCTGAACCCCAGCAACGGGGATGGAGGCTGGTGATGAGATTTACTTATCTTCAACGATTTCCTTATAATCAATTTTATATGAAATTAGTATTAATAGGTATTAATACTAGTTTGGTGCTGCCGACCGACTCCGCTAGCCTCGACAGAGAAGAAGAGGAATGCGTTACAGATTCCTCTCCCCTTCCCACCGTTATAAAGAGACCTACTTATTTTGTATTAAATAGTAATACCTGAACTAAGCCACACATATACGGAAATACTGAATAATATAGCAAAACCAAGTATCAATAATGGCAACAAATAAACAGCAAACAAAGTTATATTACGATACCTGTGAGATCCGTAAACGTAGGCAATATCGGACTCTCTCTCTCTCTTACTCTTTCAGTCAAATTCGTTCCGCGTAATAATTATAGATACTTTTACAATAAACCCTAGTTTTCGTCATTTTATTAGTACGCAATAGGTCCTGTGTATGTAAATTTCAATCAACAAGGTACCTTAATAAAGATTATCTCAATAATTAATATATTACCAGTCATTTTCTGGAATAAGTTCAGTCATTTATTGAAACCGCGCCCCTTATAAGGTATGCCTTTCAAATCAAGTTACTTATACATAAACACTTTATGTTATGGTGTTGACACTTACTTGTTACATGCAAATTTTACGATAAAACAAATTAAAATGTCGTTCTTATGAGCTTTACAGAAATCATCTTCTAGGTAAGCGCATATGTTACAGTAAAAACTAGATTTAGGACATAACGGGTTTTTCACCAGTTAAATAAAACTAGTATTTATGCAAAAAACATCTGTAGTGATTTACTGAAACCCGAAATCATTGGCTATTAAAACTACTTTGACAAGTAAAATTGAAATTGATTGACTAAATTCAAAAATA